GTTCAACAGCATTCATTGGGCACCTCCTGGAGGCCAGACACTGTGCTTGCCACGGGGGTTACCTAAAAATGTCAGCACACAGCCCTAAAATGATGTGTGGAATGATGTCAACAGGAACACATAGATGAAACTGATGCTGTCCTGCCCTCAGAGCCAAAAGGACTCTCTAGTTGCAAACACCCTTCTGAGGAAGGATTTAAATGCAGTGCTCACATAACACAAGTCTTCCGGCTTGGAAAGTTGAAACCTTCTGACTCCACATTAAACACTTCCCCTTTCTCACACTTTGTATTTTCCCTCATGTTTCCCTGACTACCTTATAAACCCCATTTGTCTTTGTAGTTCCCATTTCCTTTGCTGACACAGTATTAAACACCATGCTTTCATATAAATATATATACATATATAGGTATGTATGTGTGTGTGTATATATATATATATATATAAAACTATATATATGTAACTATATATATATAACTATATACATATAACTATATATCTATGTATAGTTATTTATTTCCTACAATAATGTAGGTACCACATTATTCCCATTTGAAGATGAGATAAACGGAGGCACAGGGAAGTTAAGTAACTTCCCTGTAGCTGCTGTAACACGGATGATAAAGAAGCAGAATTTGAACCCAGGCAGCCTAACTCTAGAGCCAGGGTTCTTAAATACTAGGTAATCCTGTCTCAGAGAGAATACAAACACCAAGGACCATGTAAGCTTGAAGCTGCTAAGGCCACCTGCTGCCAAGTGAGAGAAGCCATGCCAAAAATGAAGCCCATGTAGGGAAAGGAAAGCTGAAGGGAAAGGGGGAGAGACAGAGAGACAGGGAAAGAGACAGAGACAATATGAGAGATGTATGAGATATTACTGATTATTTAATATGAATCTCTGGAGGATATAAAGTGAGAAACTAAACTACCTTTGGTCTTCGTAGTTATACAGGTGAATAGTCTTGTCATTTGTAGGTATGGGTTCTTAACTGGGGGTCCAACCATAACTGTACACAAAGTTCTTGGTGTATAAACAGAACTATAAAACAGTGTATATGCATGTCTCTGGGGAGAATCTCAAAGGAGACCTTGATTCTACCTAACTACCATGTTTACGGCATCTTAGCCACATCTCCTCTGCAAAATCAGGTGGGGACATTTAGAACAAGGCTGTTGTCATGTGGTTAGCCTATGCTCACATTGGGTCTATCCCTAGAGCCACACTTAACATGGAGGAGAATAAGCTACTTCTTATCAGTTACAACTTCTAATCATCTTTTAAAATGCAAAGTGAGTTCCTGTTAAACATGCTGAATTGAAAATGCATGCTTGTAACCTAAGTGTCCATCAATGGATGATGAATAAATAGAGAAAATGTGATGTATCATATATATACAGTAGAATGCTATTCAGACATAGAAAGAAGGAAATTTGCAACAACATGGACGGAATTTGAGGGCATTAGGCTAAGTGACATAAATCAGGCAGAGATAGACAAATACCCGTATGATCTCACTTATATGTGGAATCTAAAAAAAAATCAAACTCATAGATGCTGAGTACAAATTGGTAGTTGCCAGGGGATGGGGATGGGGAAAATGGATGAAGATGGTCAAAAGGTACAAACTTCCAGTTATAAAATAAGTAAGTCCTGGGGATGTAATGTATGGTTAATAATACTATATTGTATATTTGAAAGATGCTAAGAGAGTAGATCTTAAAAGTTTTCATCACAAGAAAAAGAAAATTGTGGCTATGCGCTGTGATGGATGTTAACTAGACTTATTGTGGTGGTCATTTTGCAATATATACAAACATTGCATCATTATGTTGTATACCTGAAACTAATATAATGTTATATGTCAATTATGTCTCAATTTAAAAAAAGAAAATGCATGTTTATGTCAGCTCTTTCTCCAAATCCCACTAAAATAACAGTGTGTCAGTTCTGTTTGTTTGTCTTCAGACCATTTCTCATTCTTCCCTTGTCCTGCTCTGTTCTGTTACGCAGAGGGACAGCCCTCTGCCAGGCTGGGCCTCCCAGTCTTCCTTGGGTTCAGCATATAGGAGCACTGATCAGTGACTAAAGGGTAGAGAGAAGAGAGAAACTAGAGGATTTCCCCTCTCCCTGTCTGCCTCAGGCAGGAAATCTGGCGGTGGCTGGGGTTCCTCTGAGACCAGCTACCACTCGACAGATCTACGGCAGTTCTGGCTTTCACCAGGTAGTCCTGGTGCCTGGGCTTAGGTAACACCACCACCTCTTCTCTCCCTCGAGCCAGGTGTAACAGAATCGGTAATTTAAAGAGTGCAAAAAAAATGATGAAAGAAAAATTCCTGTGAAGAAAGAATCTGGAAGTACACTTTTAAAATCTATTTTCTTTCCTTCCACAGAGAAAAGGATTAGGTACAAATAGAACCCCAAAAGACTAGACTGATTGATTTTGCCATACTCCAGCACATGAGATGTTGTGGGAAATAAGCCATTTCCATGCTCAGATTAATTCATTGGCCCATTCTTCAAGGAAAATATCCGAGAAGAGGCTAAAACAGCCCACAGAAAACTGAAGCAAGTGAGGTTTGGCCTGGTGTATCCCATGCCCCACTTTGACAATGCCTGCTACAATTTAGAATCCAAGGCCCTTGGATGTCATTAAGGAAAGTAACCTGCTAAAATCACTAATGCTACAGTGACCTGCTAAAAAAAGTAACCTGCTAAAATCACTAATGCTACAGCACTAATGCTACATGGTTTCATGAATTATCCTTTATGGTTTACAGTTTTTCTTATTTAGAAACGTGGTCATCTCCAGTACTATAATAGTGAAGATTTCGGCAATAATTTAGTCTGTCCTGTCCTCTCGCTACCACCTGTGTGTTAGTGCCCAGTGATAAATGCTACCAATCTTGCATATTCTACTTCTGATTCAGCCAACTGCAAAAGTTTGGGGCTTTCAGTTTATTCTATGATTGTGAGTCTTTATTCAACACGGTTTTTATTGTTATGCAGGTCAAATACCATCCACCATCCAGTTCCCTTCTCCTTCAGGGTCCCTGGAAGGATTATACTTTTCCCTCTCCCTTGAAGTTAGGTAAGGGTGTGTGACTAATTCTAATCAATGAATGCCCTTTTCATAAAAATATCTATATAACAAAGAAGACATAAAGCCCCAGTAACCTGGCACATCCATTTCAAGAAATATCTGATTCATATCCAGTACCATGAAATGATATCGTTTTTGAAATTCATTGTGATGAGATTCCTATTAACTCATCAGATCGTGAGCTCTCTGAGGGCAGAGATAACCTAGAACCCACAAGCACTAGGTGCTCAATACATGTTGCTAAATGAATGAATGAAGGATTGAGGGAATGAATGAGTAACCATAATGTCAATATGGTCTTGTTTAAATCATTCTTATTTCTCCTTGCTCATTTGAACACTGCACTAATTTAGGAAATTACCATTAAATGAAAAAGACAATTTATTCCTCAGAGAGATTAACAATAATCTGGCTTTTCAAAGAAGGTTAATATGGAAACTAAGAAGGAAAGGCCAGTGAGTTTTGCTTTCTGTTTCTGAACTCTCTATAAAAGATGCTCCAGGAAGTACACCCACCTTACATTTGAATATAACTTTGGATTTCCTTCTTTCTCTGTTCGGGTTTGGCGACTTGAGGCTGCTATGGACTGAATGTTTGCGGCCCCCCAAATTCATATATTGAAGCCCTAACCCCCAATATGATGGCCTTTGGTGGCGGTGGGGTGATTAGGTTTAGATGAGGTCATGAGGGTAGAGCCCCATGACGGGATTAGTGTTCTTTATAAGAAGAAAGAGAGACAACAGAGCTTCCTCTCTCCATCACCACATGAGGATACAGCAAGAAGGTGACTGTCTACAAGTCAGGAAGAGGGCTCTCAACAAGAACCAAGTTGACTGGCACCTTGATCTTGGACTTCCCAGCCTCCAGAACTGTAATAAATGTCTGTTGCTTAAGCCACCCAGTCTATGAAATTTTGTTATAGCTTCCCAAGCTAAGAAAGAAGCCAAATTCTCATCTTCTCTATCTCTATCAGAAATGTAATATTATTTGCATGTCACAGACACCTTCCCTTGCTTTCAGCAACCAGCCTAACTAAGATTCTGTTGCCTCTGTAGGTAAAGTAAGCAACATGTCCCTTCAACAACCAGCCTGACTCATCAAGTATTTCCTAATTGTGGCAGTAAGGGTTTGTTTTGACCATCACTGTTGCGTGGCACTTTTTGCTGTTCAGCTCCAGCCTAGGTATGCTGTTGGGTTTTACACAATGCAAATAAATGGAAACTTTCACTATACTTTCAGAGTTTTTAATATGAAAAAATAGAGTTCAGTAATTTAGCCATGGATTTAACTTTTAAAAAACTGCTCTAGATCATATTAAAACCCACAAGATGTTTTCTTCTCTTGGTAAACAGATTGAATACATTGCCCTGATTTTAAGGCATTTAAGAGCGAAGGCATTTTCCAGGAAATATGGCACTTTGTATTGGCAAACAGTTGTAGGAATAAATTCTTTAAGCACCATTTAAGAAGTTTACTTGAAATTTTGGAGTTTCACATCAAAATGCTCACTATTAAATAGCAATCTGTTATATGCTATATAACATATATGTTATATGCAATGCCAAATGAAAGTCGGCTGTCATAATTCACTAGATAGAGTTTAGTTTTTACATCATTTTGATAAATTTCCCTCGCTTACCAGTTTAGTCACAAATTATACCTTATGGTTGTCAGGTGAAGGCAGTAAAATATTATATACTTTCAGAGGACCCCTATCCAGAAATGCTTTTCACTGCTTACATTTTATCTGTCAAATCGTATTTTCTTTAAGAAGTAAATATAAATGCCATTTTTGGGAGAAGCTACCGGCCTAGGACAAGTTCTAGCATTTAGTGTTCTGACAGATCTTAATCTGGATATCAGCCAAAGTCAATAAAACTTGTTCAAGCAGAACCTTACCTTGTTTTCACCACATCGAGAGGGTGCATCAGGCAAATTTCTACAAGACCTGAAAGATGATAAAGAAAAGTCCAGTAAACACTCATGTAAACACTGGTTCTTATTTCCTTGACCCTATTGGTTTCTCAAGTATGAATCTTCAAATTAAAAACTCGGGACTTTGGACATGACAGGTGATAGAAGCTAGGAGCAAAAGACTAATGAATAACATGATTTTATTTCTATGGGAGCAAGACACATGAGTGATTACTTCTTTGTAAGTGCTCTGGCACAAACGGAGATTTTAAACAGAGGAGTGATATTCACTTCTATTAATATGTTCTCCCAACAATCTAATCTTCTGTCCATTAACCCTCCCACTGCTCCCAGTCACATTTATTAACATGCAAACACATAAGCAGTGATGCTCCAACCCTCTCCCCTTTGGTAGATTCACCATCTCTCATCACAGCATGGATGTACCGGTGTCACAAGCACCTCTAAGTCTGAAAGAGTCAATGCCCAACTAGAAGAAGAGCACAAATACTATCATCCAAGGAGAACAGTTTCTTTTCAGTGTTCAATTCCCTGAGCTTTTCCTTCTCTTTGGAATGTTGTCCTCCTGGGAGGATACACACACATACACTTCTTCTGAGAATCCTACTTACCTTCAGATTTCAATTTTATTTTCCCAGAAATCCTGGGGCAGAGACTGTTAGTTGTCCCCTAGTATTCATCCCCTTTTCTTCCTGGTTGCTCAGAATAAATACTATATTTCCCAGCCTTCCTTGCTGCTAGGTCACATGTGACCAAGTTCTGGCCAATGGGAGGTAAGTGCAAGTGGTTTGAGCAATTTCTAGGAAGTCTTTTAAAGTTAAGGAGGCTGCTCTTCTCTTTCCCTTTCCTACTTCCTTCTGGTGGAATGCTGATCTAGGGCAGGAGAAGCCATTTTGCACAATGAAGTGATTTTGGGCACGGAGGTCACACGTAGCACAGCAACAAGACAGAAGTAGTCCGTGACATCATGGAGTTCTGGTCTACCTCCAGACATTCACGTTGAAGAAAATTTTCATTTCCTTTAAACTACTGCTATTTGGGTTTTCTGCCACTTGTACCTGAACCTAATTCTGATACAGGTACCCTTTGATGTGCTCCCACAGTACCCTGGACTTGTGTTATTACATTGCACTGTAACTGTTTTCTTGTCTAAAAGCTCCACAAGGACAGAGATTCCACCTGCCTTATTCACCTTTATATCCCCATCACTTTGCACAATAGTTGGCAGTCAGCTCAATAAAAATTTGTGGAATAAATAAATTAATGCTGCTTAGGGTTACTGCACATGCCACTATGTCAGCTAATTCTCTAGATGAACTGAACTGGCAGCAATTTATTCTACATTTATTCATTAGTTTGAACATAACCCAAATAAGCAAGCAAGGATGGAGAAATACTGACCAATATGATATGAAATAAAGCACAGGAAGTACTTGAATGTAGAATTGCAATGTTGTTGATCACATATCCAGATGTTCAGCAGCTATGTAAATGTGAGAAAGTGACCAATGATTCAACACCTAATAGACTGACAAATGATTCTTGAGAAGGGTGTGCATGCAGGGTATTGTGCTCAGTGCTGGGACATAGCCTGATGCAGCATCAAGAGTGCCTGAAAGAATGAAGAATTTCAAAAGTGGGCACAGAAGTGACACACTGAGAACAACCTTACATGTAAAGGGAAAACAATGAACAGAGAACAGCAATATGCATAAAACTAAGTTTTAGGCCCAGTGATTTAGTGTTGCTATTTACAGTGTGAAATGTTGCTATTTATGTTCTGTTCCAATTCTAGTCTTGCATAACAGTTTACTTTTATTGTCAAATTGTCAACTGTCTTCAAGGAACTATGCCATGGTTCTCATAAAATGAATGACAGAAAATACAAATATTTACAATTTTTAAGTAAAATTTTAATTCAGCTGTGGCCTGGGTGTGCTTTATATTTGAGATTATTCATCCTAGGACACAAGGCTGATTTCTGTAAGGTAAAGACCTTGCAAAAAAATTTTGAGAGAGAGAGAGAGAGAGAGAGAGAGGGAGAGAGAATATATCTATTTCACCAGGAAGCATTTTCTACAATTTTTACCTACTTTGCCTATAACCACTGGTGGAGGACTCAAGGGTATCCTTAAAGCTGGGAATAGAAAGTCACAATAAAGGCATCACACTTCACAGAATGGGTGGTGGATGGGATGGTTGTTTTTTTACTTTGGAGATTTAGAATGCTTACAACGTAAAGCAGAAGACCCTTTTTTTCCAAACTAAGCCACAGAAAAGAGACAATGGAAGGTACAGGACCACACTGATGGACTGACCAAGGGACACCCCACCCCTGCTAACTCCTAACAGAATCCTCAAGTACAGAAACCTAGAATGCTGTTGTCATTCCTGTGCCTTCCTTCCTGGTGCACCTCTGCCTTCACCTATGAACAGTGCTGCAATGTCTTCAGTAACCTTTTTAGCAATAAAATGGGGGAATGCAGAAGACAAACTAGGTGCCCAAAGGTAGACTTGAATATAGATTATTAAAGGACAATGTCAAGTGATCCTTCAGTTCAGGTCTTTTTTTTTTTTTTTGCTATACGCGGGCCTCTCACCACTGTGGCCTCTCCCGTTGCGGAGCACAGGCTCCGGACACACAGGCCCAGTGGCCATGACTCACGGGCCCAGCCGCTCCGTGGCATGTGGGATCTTCCCGGACCGGGGCACGAACCCGTGTCCCCTGCATCGGCAGGCGGACTCTCAACCACCGCGCTACCAGGGAAGCCCCCAATTCAGGTCTTAATTTTGATTTTAACTATACACAATGCTATTATACATTATCTGTTCTAAGATAAATTACTTGAGAACAGCGTTTTCTAAATTTACTCTGACTTCTTATCACTGAGTCAATTCACATTTCCTCTCTCTACAATTCCATGACATATACCAGTTATATTACATTTTACATTACCAATATTATATTACAATTCCATTACATATATCAAGGATAGCATTTACCACACCATACTATGGCCAATAATATAGAGAAATATATAACTGTCTCTCCACACCATTCCCCCCATCCCCATACTGGCAAATGAAATATTCATCTCCAGACCCTGTAGTCTATGTGAATGGCATCTCCTGCACTTGTGAAAATGTGTAGTCAAATACAAACCATGAGTTCTTAGAGAAGAGGGAGTATTTAACTTTATCGGCCCACTGAGTAAATAATGCTAAATACATGAAATTCACTCAGGAAGGTCTCTATCTACACTCTCTCCCTTGGTGATCTCATTCCAACCCATGGTTTTATTACCATCTATATGCCAACAACTTGCCAATTTACATTTCCAGTCCAGACTTCCCTTTCAAAGTCTGGACAAATATCTGATTGCCTATTTGACATCTCTGCTTGGATATCTAACAGCCATCTCAAAATTCACATGTTTGGGGCTTCCCTGGTGGTGCAGTGGTTGAGGGTCCGCCTGCCGATGCAGGGGACATGGGTTCGTGCCCCAGTCCAGGAAGATCCCACATGCCGGGGAACAGCTGGGCCCGTGAGCCATAGCCACTGAGCCTGCACGTCTGGAGCCTGTGCCCCACAACGGGAGAGGCCACAACAGTGAGAGGCCTGCGTAACGCCAAAAAAAAAAAAATCCACATGTTCAAAATGGGACTCCTGAGTGCCTTAACCAACACCCCTACTCAAAAAACAAAAATAAACAAATGGGACCTAATGAAACTTCAAAGCTTTTGCACAGCAAAGGAAACCATAAACAAGACCAAAAGACAACCCTCAGAATGGGAGAAAATATTTGCAAATGAAGCAACTGACAAAGGATTAAGCTCCAAAATTTACAAGCAGCTCATGCAACTCAATAACAAAAAAACAAACAACCCAATCCAAAAATGGGCAGAAGACCTAAATAGACATTTCTCCAAAGAAGATATACAGACTGCCAACAAACACATGAAAGAATGCTCAACATCATTAATCATTAGAGAAATGCAATTCAAAACTACAATGAGATATCATCTCTCACACCAGTCAGAATGGCCATCATCAAAAAATCTAGAAACAATAAATGTTGGAGAGGGTGTGGAGAAAAGGGGACACTCTTGCACTGCTGGTGGGAATGTGAATTGGTACAGCCACTATGGAGAACAGTATGGAGGTTCCTTAAAAAACTACAAATAGGGCTTCCCTGGTGGCGCAGTGGTTGGGAGTCCACCTGCCGGTGCAGGGGACACGGGATCGTGCCCGGGTCCGGGCCCGTGAGCCATGGCCGCTGAGCCTGCGCATCCGGGGCCTGTGCTCTGCAACGGGAGAGGCCACAACAGTGAGAGGCCCGTGTACCGCAAAATAAATAAATAAATAAATAAAACTACAAATAGAACTACCATATGACCCAGCAATCCCACTACTGGGCATATACCCTGAGAAAACCATAATTCAAAAAGAGTCATGTACTAAAATGTTCATTGCAGCTCTATTTACAATAGCCAGGTGATGGAAACAACCTAAGTGTCCATCATTGGATGAATGGATGAAGAAGATATGGCACATATATACAATGGAATATTACTCAGCCATAAAAAGAAATGAAATTGAGCTATTTGTAATGAGGTGGATAGACTAGAGTCTGTCATACAGAGTGAAGTAAGTCAGAAAGAGAAAGACAAATACCGTATGCTAACACACATATATGGAATTTAAGAAAAAAAAATATCATGAAGAACCTAGTGGTAAGACAGGAATAAAGACACAGACCTGTTAGAGAATGGACTTGAGGATATGGGGAGGGGGAAGGGTAGGCTGTGACGGAGCGAGAGAGAGGCATGGACACATACACACTACCAAACATAAGGTAGATAGCTAGTGGGAAGCAGTCGCATAGCACAGGAAGATCAGCTCGGTGCTTTGTGACCGCCTGGAGGGGTGGGATAGGGAGGGTGCAAACAAAAAAATCCAAAACAAAGGCCAACCTGTTCAACCTTAGAGTCAACCTAGACTCCTTTCTCTCAAAATCCTCTTCCAATCTATTGGCTCTACTTCAAAATATAACCAGACTTCTACCATCTCTGACTTCCTTTACTGCCTGTGCCCTCGCCCCCTTTCTGGTTAAGTCATGGTCACCGTTTCTCAGCTGATTAACTGCAGCACCTCATTAACACGTCTCCCGTCATACACCTTTGACTCCTTCCATCTATTCTCACCCAACAACTCAAGTGATCCTGTTTAAGATGTAAGCTATTTCATGTCATTCCTCTGGTCAGTAATGACTCCCCATCTCACTCAGAGAAAAGCCATACATAATCCGGGCCTGCATTACTTCTCTCACCAATTAACTTTCTTACAATTCTCCCCCTCACTGATTCTACTCTGGCCACAGTGGCCTCTGCTGTCTCCCAAACATGCCAGGACTATCTCAGCTTTTGGCCTTAGTGCTAGCCATTTCCTCTGTCTGGAATGCCCCTGCCCCAGATTCTACTTGGCCAACTTCCTTCACATGGTCAACGAGTAATCTGACCAGTCTAACACAGAGGTCCGGTCCTCCCCACCCCAGCACCAAAAAAAATCCTCATGCTGCTCTGCTTTTTCCTTTTTCCATGGTACTTATCAACTTCTAACATACTACATTATTTACTTCTTTTCTATGTTTATTGTTTCCTGTCTCTCCCAGTAGAATATAAGCTTCACCAGGGCAGAG